TTTGTTTGAGACAAAACCAATTGCAATCTTTGGACCCTATTTGGATCCCATTTCAGAAAAACTAAGAATATAAATTCATAAGACACTTAAGGAAATGTAACCACTGACTATCCAGGGAAGTATCCAATTATGATATTCAGGAAGTATTGTTAATTTATGTTTTTATTGTAACAGCTTTATTGAAATGCAGTTAATATATGATCAGCTTCACCTAAAACCTGCAGTTTGATAAGTTTTGGCATATGTAGAGACATGAAACCCTCACCACAATCAAGATGATCACCGTATCAGTGATACCAAAAGTTTCCTTGTGCCGCTCTGTGATCTCTGCTGTCTGCGCATCCTGCACGCCCCTCCTGTCCACTAAGGTCCCTCCCTGTCCGTTAGTTTACATTTCTTAGAAGTTGGTGTAAGTGGAATCAGAGCTTATATGCCCTTTTTTGTCTGGCTTCCTTCACGCAACGATTATTTTGACATTCATTTATGTTGTATGTAATAGTTTATTCCTTTATATCGTTGATTTTCAACCAGTGTGCAGCAAGAATTTTTAAAACATGCAATGCCTGACTATTTAGTCAGGACACTGACCTCTTTTCTCTTAGATGGTCAAATAAAAAATGACAGCAGCCAATACAACAATAGCCATCTAATGCAAATGAGTCAAAATTATATCAAATTTTTTTTTTGTCCGATCAGCAAAATATATAAGGTGTCCCCCCAAAAAAATGTATGCACACACTTGGAATAATTACAAAGACAGTGTTTATTAAAATGCATGTCATTTCCAAAATTGAGTTATCAGCTGTTAAAGTGTATATACGTTTTGGGGACACCTGTGTATTACTTGGTATGCCACAGAATTTTGGTAATTAGTTTGTTTGTGCCTGAAGGATGTCATTTAATATATCTTGTAGTGCCAGCCAGTTGGTGATGAATTCTTTAAGCTTTTGTATGTCTAAAAAATCCTTTAGGTCTTTCTTGTTTTGGGAGATACTTTTACTGGGTATAGAATTCTCAGTTGAAATTTTCTCTGTAAAGTACTTAAAAAAATATTGCTCCACTCTCTTCTCCCTTCTGTTTTTTTCTAATAAGAAATCTGCTATGACCCTTATTTTTGTTTTCCCATTTTATAACATGTCTATTCTTCCTGTCTACATTTAGAGTTTTTCTTTTTATTACTGGTTTTGAGAATTTGTTTACTCTCAGGGATCACTACCCTTCATTATCTGATGTACACTATCTTTCAAACCATTGTTTTGTATATGATATGGAAATATTTATAAATGAGATTTTTTTTTTTAAATGTACCTCTATTGATTTCAGAGAGGAAGGGAGAGGGAGAGAGAGAGAGAAACATCAATGATGAGAGAGTCATTGATTGGCTGCAGCCCACAACCCGGGCATGTGCCCTGACCGGGAATCGAACCCCAATCTCCTGGATCCTAGGTCGATGCTCAGCCGCTGAGCCACGCCCGGCCGGGCGAGATTTTGTTTTTAAAGTATGCTCTCAGCCTTAGTATTTGAAGATAACATTTCCTCTTCTTTATTATCGTTTCTGCTACTTCTATTACATAAAGGCAATGGCTTTATTTTTCAATATATAATTATGGGTTTATGTCTCTGTTACTGATCCATAGTCACATTTGTCTGCAGTGAAAAGCTGGTGTTTTCTATTTGTTAAAGTATCAGAAATAGTTTATCTGTCACTTTATCGCTCAAGAAAACTCAGCTCTTTTTCATTCCTCAGAGACCCAGATCTTTCCAGTTGGGTTGCTTGTTGAAAGTTTGTGGCCATCTTATCATATCTACCACCACTCCTACAAATTCTGTCATATAGATTTTCATTTTTACTACACAGAGAGAAACTTTGGGGTTTTTCTCCTTGCAATGATAAAATTATATTTAAAATTTTCCACTTGGGTTGAGTGAAACCTCAGATAATGTCTAAAAAAATATGAATCAGATATAACTTCTTTCTTAGAAGACATAATCAACAAAACCAGCCAATATTAATGCTGATAAACACCAAACATATAGATTCTTGTCGACATCTGAACACGCAAATAAAAAAATAAGGTAGTATTAAGAACTAAGCTTACAAATACCTAAATTATTCATTCATATAATATATACTACTCTTTTGATATATATGAGATGTTGCAGAGCAAAATTATCCCTCCCTTCATGATTCTTATTTGATGGTGCTTGGGAATGTTTATCTTGTTTTGGATTTTCCTGGTAATTCTGATGTACAGCCAGGCTAGGAAATTATTGTTTTATTTGACATTACTTGGAAATCAATATTTCATAGAAGCAGATACTTAAAGATGACTTTAAATACCTTTAAACACTATTTAAACAAAATTAACAAAAGTTGGTAGATATTTTTCTAAAATACTTCTTATGCATCTCCATCCACCTACTTAAGTTGTATCCTGCACGTAATTTAACTTTTCCTTGGTGATCTTCATCCGAGGACATGTTGAGAGAGAGAGAGAAACATCGATGTAAGAGATAAACAGCAATCTGTTGTCTCCCGTATGCACCCCAACTGGGATCAAACCTGAAACCTGTTTTGGTGTATGGGACGATGCCCCAACCAACTGAGCCACCTGGCCAGGGCGGTCATGCCCATTTTACTGAACATCAGTTATTGCGCAGGGATGCCCTTTGAGGCTGTTGAAGTCCAGAGCACTGTTTACCTCTGCACCTTTTGGCTCATATTACAATACTGTTTGAGCTGGGTGTGTTTCGGGTGGTTTTTGTCTTTCTTACCTCAGTCTCCTAGCTTTTACTTCTCGCTGCTCATTTTGTATCTGATTCAAGCAACCTTCACTCCCTCTTTCTAATTTGCTACTTGCAATAAGTTAAGGGCTAGCGAACCAGAAGACCAAGACTGTTAGAACTGTATCTAAAATAAAATTTGGGGAAGGTGGCTATTCTTTCATGGAACAGTGCACGTGGAGCTGAAATTCAGTGTTGGAAGCAGCTGTTGGTCAGCCCGTGGACTGAAGCAGTTTTGTTATGTATAGAAAACACATCACTTAGCGTCTCTGAAATTTCTAATATAACATATGGAGTCACATCTGTTAAAGGATTATTACTGTAGAAGGGGAGCGATGTATAATTTACTGAAATTAAGCCCATGGGGACACAGCGGACTACGTTTAATAAACTGGAATACTTGCTGGCTCCTTTGAGTGCTCTCAGCTGAATCCCACATTAGTTCAAGAGAAGGGGCAGATGAAAACAATTGCCCTTTATCTAATGTTTACTGGGTTGTATTAGTTAGTGTCTCTCTGCTGAAAACTATTTTTGCTAACTGTTCAGATTCAGCTTTGAATATTGAACTCCTGCTGGTGTGTAGTTCATATTTATTTCTGAGGAGCGCAGAAGCCCATTATTCCTCAGCTGTAAGAGGCAAAGGGGGGCACCCCATCCTTCCTGCAAGTGTGCAGTCGCGGCCGGCGGGTGAGAGGGCCTCCCCGGAGCTGCCCGGATTTCCCTCGCCTCCCTGTACTCTGCACCTTCACGGTAGGTAGCAGGAGAGGAAGTAGCCTCAGAAAGGGTTGTTTTTGGATCAAACCCATTAACTCTCCATTCTCACAGTGACAATACAGAGACTCCTGCCAGGAAAACGCCCACGGCTGGCTGCCGATTGGGTGTCTCAGGAGCAAATGACATGATCTTTCTCCATATGATAGTGATTTATTCCAGACCACAGTGTGAAGCATAGCAGTGGGATACTATGCACAATTCCCACTTTTAAATGAGAAAAGAACTGAGGGCTTCTACCCAGGTCCCCTGCCTATGCCTTGGAGGAAGCCTGGTAGATGAGGCTTGCTGTCCCTGTACCCAGCAGATAGAATTTCATCAAAAGTCCTAGCACTGGAGTCTTGAAGTCTTGAATGTTTTACACTATTGTTTCCTTCTTTTTTATCATTTGTCTTAATTTATAGATATCCTCACTGCCAGATAAATTCAGAGGTTTTTTTTTTCTTCTAATATTGAAACCTATCATTGATTTTTTAAAGAAAAGCAAAATTACCTTCCAATTTGAATACAGGAAGATTAAAACGTAGTGGGGTCTGTCTTGGGTTAGCTGTTAATTAACATGAGTAACACCGCAATAAAGCGCTGCATGTTTATTTCAGCTTCGGGCTGCATCTTGAATGTAGAGTACATTTTTCTTTAATATCTTATTTTGGTCTGACTTTTCCTTCCCTTAAATCATTTTGCTCTTTAGATTATTTTTTCATCAAATTCCCCTTTTGGGTACCGATAACAAAAAGCAGTCTTTCATATTTTATGTGAGAGAACAGACAGTGGGGTTTGGGGAGCAAAGGCAGTGTAGTGTTGCCCCATAGCTGCTTAGTCCTTTGTTGGCTCGGGAAATACTCATTGGCAAGAGGTATAGTGTGGCAAAGTTGTTAGTTGCCCAGAATCTCTGCCAGGGAATTATTTGACCGTAAAGCAAATCTGGTATCTTAAAAAAAAATTAATTTCTCAAATACTTAGTAATAAGGTGTGTCATTTACATCTCTGTTTAATTAAAGAGCAGAGTTTTAAAGTAAGAGAAAGTAAAGTATTATAGATGGAAGTCATGATTATATGCCCCTTTGTAGCTGGTGGGTGGAGGTGAGAGATTATCCCCATTGCATGGAAGTGAGATTTGAGCAGGTTGCCTGAGACGGGCAGAGATGAGGCTCACACCCTGGCCTCCAGACTCCATACCCCGTGATCGCCCTGCTAGACCAAGGTGCCCCTGTGCAATGCGTAAACACTGGGTCCTTGAGGCACAAAATGAAGGAAAATTGCTATGGTTATTTAACTACCTTTATCCTTTGACACAAGTAGTGCAAAGCTCAGCTCCTTCCTTTACGCAACATGATACACTAATAATTCATTCCACTCTGTCGGCCCTCTCAAAGCCCTTGGGGACACCCTGGTTCCTTAACTTCAGAGCCACATGCCAGTGACACTACAAATTGGTCAAAAGCATGGACATGGGCGCGGAGACAACCCCCAGCTCCTACTGTATACAGTTTGTGCAGCCTTCGTAAGCTACACATGTCTAGCAGACTAAGTAATCAAAAAATGTGAGCTGTGGTTATCAGCAAATAACATAAGGCATTAAGCAGTGATTCAGGCATAAAAGCAAGCTTCTCTGTGGTGTTTATGTTCTACTCAAATGAGCTGAACTTCCCAGGCGAAGAACTTACTAGTTAGCTGTGTCTAGTTTTCTGCCATTTGTGTTCTAAATTGCTCAATATATTGAAAAACTAAAATGGAACAAGACATGAAATAAGTATCTGTGTTCTCGCTAAAGTGTTCAGTGGGGGTTGCCTCACACATACCTTGTTTCTATTTTTTTCTTCCTTTTTTTTTTTTAATTGTCTTTTATAAAGCAAGCTATTCTCAGTTCATTCTTTATTTTGGTTGCTTATAATTTTCTGATGTTTAGAAACAGCTGACGAGTCTAAATAACAAATTGATTTGGCCCTTCCCCCTTCTGGAATGTCTCAATTCCTTTATGCTTGTGTGTGTTCAGATGTTCACATACATTCCGTGAAGACTTTGTATTGGATAGATCACGTGCTAAATGCTAGAAACAAATTATGAGCAAGACACAGTTCTTTTCTCACGAAAATAAACAATCCTACCAAGGGGGGCGGGGGCAAGGACGAGTGCACACTGTATATACAACCCACTTAAACACAGCCCGAGAAGTTTACTCTTTCTAGAAACAAAATGCTTTCTGAACTCTGGGGGCGGTTTTTTGCATGAAGATGTCTTAGATGACTCGATAGAGGAAATGACATTTAAACTAGAGGTCTCAAAAGTTGAAATACAGAGTATTTGTGAGACAGATGGGTTTTCCTGCCCTTCCCCCCCAAAAAAAATCATGAGAAAAGTCACAGAGGGTCCGAGTTCATGCCATTTTTGAGAAGCTGCACAAAGGAAATGTAAACTGCTTTACAGGTAACCAGAGATGAAAATAGAGACCAGGGGCCAATTCGTGAAAGGCAATAAAGCTGGTTCGAGCAAACGCAACTGGGAAAGAGCCAAGATGTATGTTATTTCCCTTGAATAAATAGAGCATTTCAGGTGGATTTTGAGTTGGTGGGAAAATTTTTCATATTGTCTTTCTCTCTCCACCCCCCTCCCACCGCCTTAAGTTAAGGTCCTTAATTAGCCATGCAAAAGTATGAAAAACAAAGTGACAGCCCACGGCAGGAGCAGATGCTGTGACCCCGAGCGTGGGCATCAAGAACCCCTGGCATGGCTGGGGTGGGGGCCACAGCTGCCCACCCTTTGTCTTGCACGTGTTCAGAAGCCCAATTCTTGCTCTGCTACTTACTGTCCTTTCATAATCGGGGTGTGCATCCTCTCACCAAACCCACACCCCCTAAACACGCACTCGGCCTCTCCTGGCCCTTGGAGCAGGTCAGCACCACTGATGCCGTGTCCTCAGATGGGGGGAGAAAGCAAGCTGTTTCCTGGGGTCCCTGAGCAATATCTGTACCTTGAGCTTTCCAAAATTCTGGAAAGTCCGGATGCCCATAATAAGAACATTCACATCAATGGCACCAAACCCTAGGATCCAAGTGGCAGGGGAATGTAGCCTGTCACTTACAGGAAAAATAACTAGTGAGGAAAGTACAAGTTTCCGTTGGTGATTGAATTACAAAGTAAATACTCTTTCCTCTGCCTAGAATGCTACCTGTGCCTGGGTAAACTTGAGTTCTCAGTTTCCCCAGGAAGCCTCCCCTTCCCCCCCCCCCC